CACACACACACACACATTGTAACCAGAGGCAGTGTTTGTGAAGGACTGATCAGCTTTGGTAGATCTATAAATTATTGCTCTATGTTACAGGGGAAAAAGAAAGCCACCTTCTCTGGGCTCTATCTCGTAGATGGACACTTTAGTTCCATCCAGAACCATATATTTTCTCTCCCAGCCCTGGCCTCGCTTCCCATTCCTGTAAACACACAAGGAAACTGCATTACTGACAGTTTTCCCATAAAACTCTACAAATGCCTTTGTTTTAACTGGTTTAAGTACCAGATGGGCGGACTCTGCCAGACAGACTGTAACAGAGAGTGCCTAAGAGGACTTAGCCTGCCTGATCAGTGGGAGTAGATGACACAGCCACAGCACAAAAGAGAAACTATACTGCTCAAGACAAATACACTAAGAGGTGTGAAGGACATGATGGATACACAACATGAAGTGTCTTAGCAAGGTGTTGGCTGCCACATGCCTCCAGAACAGCTTCAGTGCTCCTTAGGATAGATTTAGCAAGTTTTTGGATCATATGATCCACATCGTTTTAACACTCATTAAACTGTTCAGTGACTCTGTATCCAAGCATCTGCAAACCTCTCCACTTATATATTTAGGTTTTTCATTTTTAATTTTTTCATTTTTCACCTGTTTTTTTCTGGCCCATGTGATAGATATATATAAAGACTAAAGTGTTGTTGTCCATCAGCTGTTTTTGCATGGGATGTGTTGAAACTGCAGGACCCCCCTGCATACACTCTGCACCTTGATAGTAAGATTGATTGTCACAGAACGTTGTAAGAAAAAGCTTAAACAATGACACCAGCGTGTCCGTAGCTGACCTGGGCAGTTTCATCCAGCCCTCCAGGTGCATGTGTCCGCTGGCCTCTTTGAGCTGTTGGCCCGGGGAGCTGCCTTTGTCCCGACACAGCCCCTCAGACAGGTGCAGGGAGCAGTCGCTGGACATGCCACATGTAGCTGGAAGGCAGGGGGAGCATTTTGGGTGGCACAAAGCGTGACATTCTGAGGGAAAAAAACATTGGTTAAGACGGAGCAATGCTGAATTAGCTTTTCGCTCCTCTCCACATCCTTTTGTGCCACCACTGGCACAAAAGGAAGAGGAGGCATCTTAGCAAAGACTACAAGGAGAGGTATAAATTAAATGAATTCAAACTAACTACATTATCAGTTTAAAGAGCAGTAGGCATTTCACTCCAGCACAGTCACATCAGAAGCAGTTACTCTGGTGAGGAGTGACCAATGGGATCCACAAACAAGTCTGTGTTTAGTGCTTGCCATTTCATCATCTCAAAACGAGCATACAACAAATGAAAATGTAGTGTTTTATTTGTAATCAGTTCCTTTAGGTATGGAGGCCCTGAAAGGCTAGTGATTTTTCTTCTAAAAGGTTCATGTTTTCTTCAAGGTGAATTTTAATTTATTTAAAATACAAAATACATTTCTAGCCAAGAAAAAGACCGTTACATAACTTACTAACATGTACCTTGTGTTTAGAGTGCATGGAGAAATTAAAACCCACTTTAAAAAAAACATGAATGCTTTTAGTCCTGTTTAGAGCATGGGGGAGTGGTGCACCTACTTGTCACTTTCACAGATAAAAAATAAAAATAAAAACCTAGATAGATAGAACTGAGATTTGTTTTTTATGTTTTTGTTTTACTAAGTTTGGAAAAATACTGGTCTCAGCCACAACAATGCAGTGTTATAAAAAAGGCAGAACAATGGGAATGAGTGAGAGGCAACAGCAGCAGCCATCACCATGGTTTCACACATCATAATAACACTCCCATGTATCATCCATATTATAATTTCCATTTATACAATAGAACATACATAAGAAAAATAAATATTATGAAGGCTGAAATTGAAATGTTACTTTCATGAATGGGGCAACAAATTAAAACACAAACTACTATGTTATCTTTCTTCAGTTTACATGGAGGTAATGTGGATCATGTGGTTTCAGGGCTTCCCTTTCCATCACATCTGTAACTCACCGAGACAGGTAGCAGCTTGGCGACCAAAGTGCACAGTATCCAGGCACACAGTACACTTGGCAGCTCTCATGTTGAGTCCCACTGTGAAGCGGTGAGGGGTGTTGTGGTGCACCACCCTCTCTCTCTCCCTCTCTCTGTCTCTCTGACTGTCCTTCAAACGACGGCTATACTCTGAATACAGTCAGGGAACACAGTGAGGGCGGGCAGCTCCAGTATGCCTTACTGTGCCAGGTACATCCATCACTTCAAAACCTCAGTGCACCATGCCATACCCGCTATGAACTCACTTCAACAAAAGAAGGTTTCCAAAAGAACGGTAAGATGTTTGGCAAAATGCATAAAAGCAAGTAAACTCTGAAGACAAAAATGCTTGAAAAAGAATATTGATTTAATCAATCCCTTTGCTTGTGCCCACTCACTGTTGCAGTTAAAGGCATTATCCAGTCAGTATAAAGTTTCACACTGTGTGTGCAGTATTCTTGTTTACACAACACAACATCATAAAACATCTGGTCTCCTGAGGACTTGTTGATCATATACCACACATGTTCAAACTCATGAGTCTTTACACAAATATACACTACATGTTAAAACATATAAAGCAAACAGTTAATGATAATTTATGTATTATCAATTTCTGTAGCATTTATTTTCCATAGTATACACTTATTATTTGTGTGTTATATAATTACAGTAATTATATTGTTGCTCTTAAAGTATGTCTGTTTTACATTTTATTCTGTCACAATCACCAGATTTCACATTTTGTTAGAAAAAATAAGATGACTGGATAATACCTTTAGAGTGTGGGTTCAAACAGTGTTTTGTGCATTGCAGAGTTTATCATATGGTGCATCTCTGTTAGTGTATGATGTGAAATTCAGGTGGGATTGTAGTGAGTTAAAGAGCAGAGCTCTGCAAATCAGATAAGCTAAGCTTCAGCAACCAAGATAAAAATGCTTCAGATTTCTAAAGCTGTGCACTGACAAGGTGAAAATTTACTCAGCCTTCGCCTGACCATCCTGGTGGGATCTCACATTTTATAAAGTGCAGAGCTTTCAAAATCTGGCCTTTCAAGGATGTGGATGAGGCAAAAGGAGAAGAGAGAGATAAGAGACCAAACTGCAGGAACCATGAGTTTGGACAACTTACTTTCAAAAGTGACCCTCCTTCTCTCTGAAAGGTGTGTGAGAGAAAAAGGATAGTAAGAGCTTCATAAATGATCCTTCGCGAGTGATATTACATGTGTCTGTGTGTCTATGTGTGTGCAGGTAAGGGCCAGTATGTGTCAAGTATGAAGCCATATAAACCTGCATGTATGTGTCTGTTAGAGAGAAAAGGTTGCACTTCAGTAAACATTATCCCTTCACTCACCCTCGGGTGTTGCAGTCTCCTTCCTGCGTCCAGAGTTGGAGGTTGCCAGGTTGGTCGGGCCCTGCTGGTGCTCTGGAGACTTCACTATGGCAGACATAATCATCTGCTGCCGTGCTGTGGCCGGGTTTGTTGAGTTCCCATGATCCTTATACTGGAGCGCTGGGGTTGGAAGAATGAATTAACTGATTATATATCAATATTTTATGTATTTGTATGATACATTGCTCTATCATTCTGAGTAACCTGTTTTCTGTTCCAAGAAGATAATGTTAGTCGTATACTATCACTAAAATTAATGGTGTGCAGAATCGTAAATGTGGATAAGCTGCTGGAGAGGAGCAGACTCACCTTCCTCTCTCAGGGATCGCAGCTCCGCTCTCATTTTCTGCAGAGCATCTTCCAGCTCGGAGCAGCGAGCACGCTCTTTGTCCAGAGCTACCTTCATGTCGCTGTACTGCAGGGGCACCGGCTGGATGGGGGGCACAGGGGAAACTGGGCCTTGACTCTGACCCTGAGCCTGGGCCTGAGCAGCCATGGCAGCCAACAGGTCCTCTCGACGACGTCCAAACAGACCCTGAGACACAGGAACCAACTGTTCACTTGTTTTAAACTTGTTTTTTTATTAGTTTCTCAGTACTTATTCAGTTTTTTATGTGGTGATGATCTACAGCTCTCTGAATGAGGCTGGTGGTTTATAATAAAATGATAATCAAACTTGTCACAATAATTCAAAATCCCTCCCTAAATATAAATGTTCTAAAAAATCTAATGAATTACCTAATTGTCACATTGTCTCTCTCCTATCTCAGATATCTGACATCAGATCAGTCTATTTAATTTAAGGTTTTCACAATAAAGTACCTGAACATATTTCATCAGATCAAATGCAAGTTGGAAGCTTTAGGTCACCATGAAATTGTGCCTCCGTGGAGCTCTTTGTAAACCAGAAAGCATCATCCTGACCATCTGAATTATGAATACTTCCACTTAAAATGTTTTATTATATTTAAATGTTTCTTAATTAGATTTGAAAAATTTTACTAGTTAACGTTTTAGTATGACATAAATCCTCACAAGCTTTTTGTCCCTCGCCCTCCTCACCCACACACCTACACAGGACTGCTCCACTAGGATCTCTCCGTCATACTGCTGGGAAATATACAACTACACTGTGCAATTATATTTATCTTAGTTATCTTATCTGTCTATTCATTGTATTTATCTTATTTGTATTATATAAAAAAGTTTCTTTTACATAGGCAACTACACTGTGCAATATATATTATCTTACTGGTGTTTTATAGAAAAGTTTTTTCCATTTGCATATCTATTTTTAGACTGTACATACTGCCTCCCCTTTATTCCTGCTGTGCTATGTGCCACTGCAACGTAATTTCATTTTAATGCAAATCCAAATGACAAATAAAGTCTGTCTAAGTCTAAGTCTAATGCCAAAACTTTTCAAAACTTGAAAAGTTACATCTTTTCTTTCAAAAACATCAGACCTGTGCAGGAAGACGAACAAATTGTAATATATAATCCCATCTGACCTTTTTCTTCTTGGAGCCACCATGGGCCTGGGACTGGAGGAAGTCTATGAGCTTGGTCTGCTGGGTGATGGTCCCCTCCATTTTCACCTTCTCATGGGAGTACACAGCCTGCAGGTGGAGCTAAGTGAACATCACTACTGCCATGAATTTCTCCTCAAGTACTTCACTTCACACAGAGAGGGTGACAGAGAGACACAGAAGGGGGGGCTGGGATGTACGCTGTGGGGTAAAACAAAGTGTGTCTATGTGTCTTTCACTATTAAAACAAAGTGACAGAACATTGGGGGAGAAACAAGACTGCAAATGACAGAAAGATTTGGTCCCAGTCCAGCAGGTGTATATGTGAGTACAGTGACTGTGAACTAGTAGGTATATGTGTATGTGTGAGGAGCAGCACCTGGATGTTCTCCAGCTGGTACTCCAGGTCAGTCCTTTCAGTCTTCAGCAGGTCAGTCTGGTCCAGAGCGTCCTGCAGGCCCTGGGTCAGACGGAAGATGTGGGTCTTCTGGGCATCCATCTGCTGCTGCAGTTTCTCTTGCTGTGGAGGTAAAAAATACAACTGTTACATCACCATCTGGACGCTGTGACTTTGCCACTTGCGCTTCTTACAATTGATTGCTTCCAATGATAGCACCAACACCTTTCAGCATGGTTTGACATTTGGTACCGCTTTGACTTTACAAACAGGAAATCAATTTTATTTAACTATTGTGGCAAAGCAGTGGTATGACAGGAAGACATGCACATTTAAACATCTAAATGTGTACATACTGCATAAACGAAAACAATAGAGATCAGTGCGATATACGTGTGAAAACACAGGGTGTACCTCCTCCAACAGCCTCTGCTTCAGATCCCTCTCACTCTCAAGCTTTTGCTGCAAACTGCGGGCATTCATCTCCAGCATGGCATGCTTCTTCTCCAGATCATTCAACTGAGAAAGAGCACAGAGTTTGCTATAACATATGCTAACCACAAAAAGTAAAACACTTACTCAACAGTGTGGAAATGCTTACAGTGTCGGCAAGGCTCTCAGCTTTGAGTTTCTGGTCTTTGAGGGCCTGCTGCAAGGCCAGGATCTCAGCTTTGTGCTCCTTAACTGCCTGTTCCACAGCCTGGCGGGACTCAGAGTTGCGCTGCTCTGCACGAAGCCTAGAGCAGAAACCCATTGTTTACACTAGTTATTCAAGTGCATACTCTTCCAGGTCTCCTATAATGTACTGTTAGATAACTGGCTGTTATTTGAATCTAATCAAATAAATCCATGTTCATGTACCAGTGTATTTATTCCTGTATATCTACACTCTACAGTTTTAGTTCTTAGGGGTTAGTTTAGGGTGAAGATTTGGGGTTGGGTTAAAGGAAAATACACCTTAAGAAAAATCTATCTGTGTTTTAATATGCTTTCTGTGTGCCCTGTTTTCATCACCTGCCCTGCCTACACCAACTCAGAAAATAATTTCATATATTTCCCAGAATACCGTTTGACAAACCCCAGAGAATATGCCTAAACCTGTTGCATTCAGTGTGTGTAGGTGGAGGGAACTGATCCAACACTGATAGCAACAGCAACATTCAAAGCAAAGAAAGTTGTTTTATAGTCTAGAAAAAAGAAACTCATAAACCCTTTCTCAAAATGTCTTATATGATGGACTATTGAAGCCACTATGGAGGAACTTGTATCCCTCTAATAAGGCTAATAATCTCAATTGTAACTGCACTACAAAATATCTCAATGTTCCGTAACCTTGTGCAAACTTTACATAAATTTAAGGGTCAATTTAGTCAATAAATGTCTACACCGTTATAGTGCTACAGTGGGCGAGTGGGTGTAACCTGTTCTGTTTCTCTGTGTCCAGCAGTCTCTGGATCTCCCTGGTCCTCCTCTCAGCCTGGCTCTTCTCCTCTTCCAGCGTTGCCCTCCAGGCGTCCCACTGTCTCTCCTTCTCTAGCAGCTCATCATTCAGGGTCTCTAGCTCCAGAACCTGCTCCTCCAACATGGTGCATGTGGTCTTCAGTGTCTCAAGGTTCTGGTTACAAAACAGGATTTAGATGAGAAATACCAGCTATGCCAAAGACACAACTCAACAACTCCAGTTGTCAGCAGTTCTTAGCAGAAAAGACAATCTTTTAAAGGAGTGATGAAGAACACAATGTAGTTAACACAAAGTGCTACTACTCCTGACTCTGGCGTAGTAGAAGTATTCAGATCATTTGTCTAAGTAAAAGCAATACCACAATTTATATGGATTTATATCCAAATCCAACTTTAATATAGAAGCATCAGTCAAATGTCTCAGTATATTATTATATATTATATTATACTATTTTATTTTAATGATGTAGCTAGTCAACAGGAAGCTACTTTTAACCAGGTTACACAGTGTTGGCTAACTCCCCTTCTAGTCAGAAATCAGTGTTTCTATTTGTTCCTACAGTGTGTACAGTGTTTCAACTTTTGAAATTAAGTTTTAATGAGGTAGAACGAGTAGATGACTTCTTAAGGATTTTAATATTTCAGACACACATTATTGTTCTGAGAACACTATTTGTATACATGTCTTAATACATCTCTGGAGGGGATATTTAACAATTGTATTTTGAAATTAATCATATGTTTTGTAGATGTAAAATCTATTTGCAAAATTTGCAAATTAACTGGTAACTATAGCTGAGCTCAAATAAATGTAGTGGAGTAAAAACTACAATATATCCATCTAAAATGTATTGGAAGATAATTACAAGGAAGTGTATACTGTACATGTAAAGGAAGTACCCATGTCCTTCAAATTGTACAGAACAGTACTAGTTTCAATCCACCACTGTAACGTTACAGGAGATACATAAAACACAGGGGCCTACAAAGAGCATTTGATGGCAGCATACTTGGAGTTTGACAGCTAACTTACCATGTAAATGAATGTGTGCACCTTCAGTTAAAAAATAACCCCAAAACTGCAATTACAAAAACAGCATCAGTACTCCCATGGAGTTATTTACATGACATGTTTGGACACAAAACGTTTTTCTACGTTATTTACTGGGCCTACACAAAGCGCTGTGTTTCATGTCTTTAGACAAAGCATTGGGAGACAAATATAGCCTGTGCTGGTGCTGCAGCAACACCATGGCCCTCTGAAGTCCAACGCTTCCACAGCTGACACGACCTGGGAGTGATGGGGATGACACATCCCTCCCACACACCACCCCATCCCTCGTCTATGACTTCCATCGCTGGTTACACAACCAGCAGGACCGAGAGCGCTGCTGGACACCCACACACATATCCTCCCACAGGGGCCGTGCACACATCACACAGCCTCCTCGCTCGCACTCTCTCTCACTGCATACAGAATACAGCACGTAACAATACTGAAATATTCCCAGGGTTTCTTTTGCCTGATTTACACTTAACACTGTCAGAGCAGGGAGAGGTGTCTAGGTCACCTGTCAAAGGTAGTGTGGAGATATCACATAGTGTGAGTAAGTGAAAACCTGGTGTCTGACTGGCTGTGAGTGGGAAGTGGGCAGGGGGAAGGAGCCTAAACTAGAGAATAGCTGTCTTAAAAAAATAGAAAACTGTTGTTTTTTTGCATAGTTAACTACTAGACTATAGTGGTGACATGGTGGCACAGTGGTAAGCACTGTGACTGGGTTCAATAGCCAGCTGTTTGATTGTTTGTGTGTTTACTCAGTGATAGACTGGCGACCCATCCATGGGTGTTAGAAAATGATTGGATGGAAGACTGCAGTGTGTCCTTGTTTAATTTTCTGTCAAGTCAGGGTACAAACTCCCGACTTTTGCATAAATTGATCATTACCTGTCCACCAGACTTGCAGGGAAAGTACACACACACATATAACCATAACGGGAACATGACCACCAGCAGCTAGGTACCTGCTTCTGGTTGTTAAGGTGCATTTCGCGGTCGGCCACCTCCCGACGCAGCCTATCTACATCCTGGCTGAGCTGCAGACGGTCCTCTCTCTCGTCAGAGGCCTCATCTAGCTGCTTGGACAGGTAGAAGTTTTGGCGGTTCAGCTCGGCGTTCTCCTGAGTCAGTGTGGTCAGCTGCTCCTCCAGATCTGTGATCACCTGCAGGATGCCAACAGGACACTCAGACTGCCAGTCACACAGAGCACCCACTGTGCACCCAAAATATATCAGTATTATAATGTTATCTGTAGTGTAATGTACACAATGAGTATACATTAATTTTACAATTTGCACACATGAAAAGGTCTCACCTCCATCGTGCATATCGGAACAGCATTGTCGCTCATGCACACAAAAACTTGACCAAACACCCCCATGTCTAAACTGCAATGCTGCATTATTACATGATGTAGATATCTAGGTTAGTGATATAATACAGGGATCATTTTACCATGATATCAAGGCTACTTATTTAACCCAGGCAGCATTCAGAGCAAGGAGCAGGCTAATCATTTCATCAGCATCAGTCTGTTCCCTTAATCAGCCATGACTGCTGTGCACGCTGGAGGGAAATGAGGGTTAGAGGCTGGTGAGGCTGCCTGTTAAGAGCCCCTTATTCTCAGCTCTCATGGGAACATGTGTACCACGCAGAACTTCCAGGTGGCAAGGGGAAAGAGGCAAAGCTTTTAAGTACATAAATTAGCTGTCTGTTCTGCACTGACTCAGTGCTTCTGCTCCCCCGAGGCAGGGGGACTGACAGCACCAACTAAATACTTAAGGCGGGGCGAGGAAGTCAACGCTGGAATGAATACAGTGGTGATCTGGCAAGCCTCTATATTTACTCTGCTTGTCTGTCATCCCAATCTATAGAGAAACTTGCAGACCTAAAGTAAATCACATCCGGAGCTTTGCATCCTCAACCCTGCTGAATACAAATTGCTCAATACTAAATACTGTGGGTGTTCGGAAAATAAAAAAAGCCCAGTTAAAGAGGCAGTAAATCAGTCCCACGATTTCCTTGAGTAAAATTAATGCAACATTTACTGTACACTGATGATACAAAACACAGAGGAACATCTGAGCTTTCTATGAAACAGACTGAGCAGCAGAGATGAGAAGTGGAAGTTGGTTTATTCACCATTTTAAAACGTAACCACTTTTTAGTGAAATCATTGCTACTTAGGTATGGGTGACTGATGTGGATAAAACTGCAACGTAAATAGATATAGTAAATCTGCTGGTAATTCAACTGAGAAAATATTTATAGATGAAATAACCAGATGGAAATGTCTTTTGGCTAATCCAGTATAAAAGGAGTCCCCACTGACTTAAAACATTGCCAATAACAGCCAGATACAACAAAAGATATTAAAATCATCACAGCTTCCATACAAGAAACAGTAGAACAAAATTAATTAACAATATGTCTCATTATTTTGCTAAACTCTATCTTGTAAAGATACAAAAAAGACATTCACACGAGTGAAAACGGCAACAGTGCGTGGACACAACAAAGATAATACTGACAGTGTGAGTATTTCTACAGTCTCTCTACTACTGTTGCTAAAAAATAATATAACGTGTTCAGCAAATTTCATTGCAGTGTTCATTATGGGATGTCTTGTGTGCAAAGTTGACCTGCTTGAAGATAGCTCAAGAGGAAAGTTGGTCTAAGTTGGAAGTTCATTCTTTGAGGGGCAGGAATGGGCCTTAGTATATTTCAAGGAAACTGGCTCTAGATTGTGGTATATCTGTCTCTAAAAATAAAATGTCAAGGGATGGCAAAAATCATTAAGAATCACCCCCAGAGGACAAAATGTAATGATGATTTGCTGTAGCTGTGAAGGTATCTTGGTCCAGTGTTGAGCAGATAGACCAACACCGCAAGTCTTAGCAGGGCAAAAAATAGGGTGGCATTTCAAGCTCTGCTCGTTGCAGAATTTGGCTGTGTTTGCCTGAACATCGGCCAGCTGAATCTATGGACAGCGCATTCTGAACAGTTTGCGAGTGGGAGGATCTCAAAAGTAGGGCAAGGAAATAAAGGAAGACCATGATGATCTTGGTGTTTATTGAAGTTATACCAATTTGAAATTAAACATGACATCATTTTGTCAAGGTAAGTGGGATAACAGGGCTCCACAGTAATAACAGAAAAAGTAAAAATAATAATACAATATAATAATAACAAAAAATAAATAAATTGGCCTAGGGACTGAGAAAACTGTGCAGTAACTCCAATGTGCTTGCACTCTGTACCTGTGCAACTCCCAAATAAAGTTATTCAAACTTAAACTTTGTCAACCTTTGGGATTAGAAGATGCTTTAACATCATTTCAACATTCACTGTCTGTGTAAATCCCTAAAAAGAAAGCCTGTAAATGGCTGCTGGATAGCTACATTTACTAAAAAAAAAGAGTAGTTGTTTAAACGGTTAAAGGATGTATCTTGCTACATAAAAAGGTGGCTACTTCTGAGTACTAGTTTCTTCAAACATCATTAGTAGGCTGATTACACAATGCCTCACTGTCAGAAGCTCTGGTGACAAGATGATGCGGTTGTGTAAAAGAGAGAGGAAATAAATACCTCTGCACACACAGAAAAGAAAATGATCAGCAATGACAAAAATGTCCTCTAGCTAATTCAATCAGTAAGTGTGGACTGTGACATAGTGTGTTAGCTCCCCAGAATGTGAGAGTGCCAAACAAGCATGATGGCAGGATAAAAGCTGTTCCAGCAGGGCTAGTTTTGGTAGCGGCAGCTCATTTAGTTGTGGCACAAGGCATCATGGAATCAAACTAATTGAGAATTAATCTGACACTAATGTAAAAATGAGTGCTTATTTAGAACAGCAATTCTCCCTTTGACCATAGATACAATGATTTGAGACAGCCCTAAAAACATTAGTGTGGAGCTCTGGTCATATTTTTCACAAACCAAGAGATTATGTAGATAGTTAGTATTATTTCTACTATTATTCGAATATGTTTAGTTTGTGGTTAATGGAAGTAAGAGAGAGATATTCTTTAATTGAGGCCCAATTTACCAGAGAATGACAGAAATATGGACTAAAATTATGGCTACTTTAGACTGTTAGTTATGTGTGATGATGTGTGATGATTCAGCTGGTGTTCAATGTCAGAAGAGCCGTCTATTCTTGGAAATAGTGAACGAGCAAAAAAAAATATTTAAAGGAGTGAGCAGCTTACCGCGCAGCTGTCTCTCAAGGCATCAAACTTGCGCTGTATCTCATCTCTGTGTGCCTAACAGGTATGACAAGAAAGACAGAGGGACAGATTTTAGTGCCTGAATTATAAAACATCAATGGAGACATCACCTTCAATACTTTCTCTCTCTTTTTCTCTCACTCTGAGCACAGTGATCTCCTCCTCGGCCTCTGCAGTGGTGTCCTCCAGCTCCGTCTTGGCCTGCTGTAGTTGGTTCTCCAGAGCGTGGCGAGCTGCCTGCAGGTTGCTGATCTGGGATTCTCGCTCCTGCAGTGACAGGGTCAGCTCTGTCACCTGGCGCTTAATCTCCAGCTTCTGTTCCTCGTGTTCCAGCCCGATCTACAAAGGGAGGCAGAGAGAGGGGCCATCCAAGGTGAGGGAGGAGGAGGAAGTGATTCACCCCTGGGAGCAGCAGACGCTGACACTTCACCTTGTCTGACTCCATCTCAATTTGTTGCGCTGCTCTTTTCTGTTTCATCTGAATTAATAAGGTGGTTTTCTCTTGCTCAGTAGTACAGAATTACCATCATCAATACCAGCAGTGACCTCCAGGTGCTGAGATTTCTAGCCTATAAAACCCACTTACTTAAGAATGTTATAAAAGACTACAAAATCATCGTGTCATATGTCCCATTTCTGTTTTGTACATCTAATGTTCTTTACCTTTTTCAGCATCCAAGCTAGTAGCTAGAGCCAATGCTGTATATAATCATTCAGCGACCTTTTTATGTGTTGCACTTGCTTCTACCTGCCTTTGGGGTTGTGATTCAAAATAATTATTTCCTCAATATATATTCAGGGAAGCATTTATACACAGGTGTGCTTCCACGATCTGGAGCCAGATCAGTACAGAGGAAAGAGGTCTAGTGCTCAACTTCATCTATTTAATATTTTAAAGTGTTACCACGTGTGCTTAGACATACACAAATTCTTTGTGAAGAAGAGGGAAAATGTAAAATTAATTTAACCTGCGATCACACGCTAGTTGGAAAGCCTATATCAAGCAATCTCACTATAATATCTCCTCACCTCCCGGAGCCTAGTTTCCAGCTCCAGGACACGGCTCTTATTGCTTTGCTCCTGCTGACTCATTTTCTCTAGATGCTCCTCCAGTTTGGCATTCTGGGCCTCCAGTTTCCCAGCCTGAGACTCCAAGTAGAACTTCTGCTGGCGAAGCTCTGAGATCATCTCCTCCTGGGCTTTCCTGCCGAGACCACACACGTATAAAAAGTTCAATAGGAGGCAATGCAAGCTGGTATTGTGGAATTATGTGTACATACACTCCCAAGACAAAAACGAGGTGTCTTATTAGGTATTATTTTGCATGTTTTTCTAATGCTTTTACTGTCAAACTGAATAACAATGTTTTGTGTGTCTGAACTTACATGTTTTTCTGGGTGTAGATACTGCTGTTGGCTGCCAGTTTGTTGGCCTCAGACAGCTCAGCGATTCTCTGCTCCAGGCTGTTCATCTTAGAGTCCATAGCATTTATGGTCTGAACAGAAATGATAACTCTTTTAACTTAACATTTAGTTACATTGACACTGGCTTTAATTGGGATCAGCTTAATGTTCATTCATGTGCTCTACAATAACCTACCCAAGATGATCCCAAACAAGAAATCTATGTCAGTGTGATAAATGTTCAAATACGCCTGAAATAGCGTCGCTGCCAGGCTGGTCAGTTCTTACCGCCTTCTGTTCACTGATGATGCTGCACTTCTCCTGCACCTCCTCCTCATATTTGCTCTGACTGGACTCCAGCATCTCCTTATCAGCCATGTCCGCCTTCATCTGGGCCTCCAACACCTGCTCAATGCCAGGCAGCCCACAGAACCATAACCAGGATATCACTTAACAGGACAGAGAATGTGAAGATGACATACTGTAGATCACCCTAAGCACACCCACAACTCAACCTAGCTAAAGTACGTCAGGTTATACCTTCCTGTTGTTTTACGTAGCACCAAACAGTCTGCATATGTGTGAATATTTATGTGTTCTGAAATTCAACCTTTATTTTGTCTTCATAGAGCTTCTCCTTCTGCTTCAGATGAGTCTCCAACCTCTGGGCTGTGGCTTGGGTCTCTCGCAGATTCTCCTCCAGCCCCTACACAAAAATACCAGTATGTTGTGTACTGCATGTTAAAACATCATGTTCACAAAGCTTAAAAGCAGACAAAAGTACTTGAGTACTTTTTGGTATCAGGGTAATGCACAAAAAACAGCTTACGCATTTGTGATAAGTGAGGGGTGGTCAGAAGGACGTCTGAATCACTAACACCTAATTCCAGTCAGTGACGGTTCCTACTGGTAATGTGCCTCATCGTGTTTTAGAAAAATACTGCTTTTATTTCGCTCAATTTCAAGGGGGAGTCAGCAAGCAATTCAGTCACCTTACCAGATGTTTTTTGTTGGCAGGTACAATATATTTGTCAAGGCCGCTTTAACAAGGCTGTGCATTACTTTGTTTAATGTATAAAAGCAGTGACACAGTTTCACAAAATGCATTTATGGCATATCCAGGCACAAAGAGCAGTCCCTCGTCTTTGTCACTATGGCTGAAGTCTGTAAGCAGGCGTAAGTGCATGTCATCCTTATCAATGACATCAACCTTCTCTTAGGAGCACTCTCTATCGACCTTTTTTGCTTGTTATGGCAAGAAAAGCACAGGTGGAACTAATACACAATACTCAAGCCCGGGAGCTGTCACACCTAGGTAGAATACAGCAATTATTATTACCTATTATGAAAACCACATTCTCCACTGTACACCCACATAGTTGTTTTTCACTTGTTCTGGCTAAAAAGACCTCTGATCAGGTTGAAGCTGAAAGTAATGTGACCAAACTCTATGGCCTTATCTAAAGAATCATAACTTGTCTCAAGAATGGCTCATTATATCTAGAATTAATCATATAATTTGCCCCACCTTAACAGATGTAACAAGAGAGCGAGAGATATCATTCATAGACAGTCCATACACCCCCACACTAATAATCCATTAGTTTACCTGATGATCTGGATGCAGATCCAAAAGTAGTTTACATCCAGATCCTCCAATACATGATAAACATTAGGTTTTTCAGAAATATTGTATTATGTAAAATAGCACTTCCTCTGCAATGATGACAATGAGCTATGTTTATCTCACACCTCCTCTGATTATTTTAGCTCCGCACAAGTAGTGAAAGGTGGGTTACCAGAATCTTATCTGCCATCTGCTGAATCTGCTGGGTCTTGCTCTGGATCTCATCCTTCAGTTTAGTCTCCCGGCGCTCGACAATCTCCAGCCTTTTCACCTGGTTCTCAAGAGTCTTCCTACCATCCTGCATACACACAATGAACACAATCTGAATTAACTGGCTTATACAATGGTTGTTTTAGTCAGGTCAAAAGATTCATAATCCAAAATAGTGCTTTTTGCTACGTGGGCGTCATAGCACATTTTGTAGAAATGGTTATTAGACTCAAGATTTCCGCTTCAAGGAAGAACTGATGACATACTGTGGCAGTTGAATCCATTTGGCTTGTTATGATGTTGTGATGCACCTCTGCAATGTTTATATCTCATTATTCCAAGTTCCTCACAATGGTCCCAAAGAGCCCATTTGCATTCTTCTGTGATGGTGTGAGAGGTCTTTGGAGCTGTTCAAATTTGACCACATGCACATTTTCTTTCCTCTGACTCTGCTGTCTAAATTAACCTATGCTAATTGAAATGTCTAGTGCTTGATGTAAAGTGCTGTTTTAGAAGATCTCATAACAACCCCTAAAAAAGTACACTGTACACTACAGACACTGCATGAATGAATACATAATGTATCCCTATGCATATATTTGTAGCAGGATTTTATTAAAGCTGATGGATTGCGTGAGTAGGTCACGATACAGTTGTGCATTGGACATATATAAATGGGTTCTGAGACAAATGCTTATGAGACAATGCTGAAGATGATGAAAGGTCTGCCTGTCGGTATCTGCGCTCTTGCACACCATGGTGGAGTCCCTGCTAACTGAAATATACTCCCTTGATGATTATTACAAGAAAAACAGCTGTGTCAAAAGTGCATGTTTAGATGCTTGAAATTTCATATTAGGTTTTTTAAACTTTGTTTAAGAAATAACTGTAAATGTCTACTGGCTGTCTTTTCCTGGTGCAAAATGCAAAAATGCATCATTATGAAAAGGCTTTTACACAGATACAGATTTTTTCTTTTTGTTAAATTTAGATGTTAAGGCATTAACAGTTTACCCAGTGGATTTGGCCTCCAAGAAAAACTGTGTGCAAAAACAGCAGAAGCAGGAGCACTGAGCCACAGGAATTACTGATCCACTGGAGAATCAATTAGTAAAATGTCACATGCAGACTGATTAGCTTCACAACATCAGTAACAATAATGCTTTTCTGTTCAAGACCTCATATTGTCTCTACACAATCAAACAACAGGACTTTCGGTGATATTTGTACAAAAAACATTGCTTTATGCACTAAAGAGATATCGGTGAAAGTCTGAGAGTATGATTGTTTGTGCAGAGGTATATCAATGTAATTGTTTGTCACCTTAAAGACTCTTTGGTTTAGTTTTACACTTTATGCTTCACAAACCACATGAACAAGTGTGGATTTGCTTTACAAATTATGATCAACTGTGTCAAACATTCAGGCTATTTGACATGCTATTATGCCATCACAGCACAAGTGTTCCTCAGAAGGTGCAAAACCAACACGTTAACAAGAGAACATATGGGCTCTTTGTGTTAAGCAGATACCCAAGGCAGATTTATTTATGCAACACTTTAAACAAAGAGGTTTGTGATGCTGCAAAGCAGCAAATGACATGATACACAGAATACCAAGAAGAAACCGGCAGGAGGCCAGAACACATATATGCTAAGCTGTTTGTAGTATGTGTACTGTGTGTGTGATAACAGAGGTGTGTGTGTGTACCTCAGTCTCACGGAGGCGTCTACGCAGGCTGTCACTGGAGTCTTCCTTGTTGTGTAGCCTCTCTAGATCTCGCTCCATGCGCTCTTTGGCCACTCTCATACTCTGAAGGAGGTCCGTTGCTTCAGCAGTGGCCTTTAACGACTGCGGGTTCAAAGAAAAATACAACTCAATGTGTGTGTACATGTTATTTACACAAACTTTATTGTAAGATTGTCTGTAGCTTTCAACAGGTTAAATCTTTCAAAGACCATTTTGAATTCAATTTAAGAATAATTTCACATCCATACTGGCAAAAAAGTATGGATACAATGAAAGGATCCAAAGACAAATGGGTTTTGGTTCAATGTCGGTTTTGTTTTGCTGTAACAACTTACAGCATGATAAATAAATAATTTTACCAAAAATATATTTAAAAGTGAGACTGAAAAATGTAACTTTAAAAAAGCAATGTTAATAATTTTAAGACCAATCAAAATCATATTTATCATATTTTAAGGCCCACAATTACGATTTTTGGATTTCCGACTTTTTAAGAAGACCCATGGACCAATCTCTAATACACATACCACTGTAGAATGATTAATAACTACACCAATTAAAATAATTTTGTCAAAATATATAATAACAAATCATATATATATATATATATATATATGGAATAACTGACATCCTTTTGTAAAGTTCAGTGCGTACTAGTAAACAAACTACAGACTATTGCTAATAAGATCTTCTTTAACAAACTACTACTGAGTTATTTTAATAAACAAAGTCCCACCCTACTTGCTATTTAATAAACTAGTTTACATTGAGCCAGAAGTAGACCTATCCCAAACGTGGGCACAGTCAGCCTTGAATATCAGCACCACAACCTTGTGTGCTCTTGGCAGAATGGATGGTAATTTTAAATATTAAATTCTAGGAAAAGACAATTAGGAAGAAATTATCTTACTAATGAGGACAAAACTGTTTGATTGCTGATAATTAAGCAGTAACTGTAGTTTTAAAAGACAGCTTAATTGTTCTTGGGCCATAGAGCAAATCTGACTGGATAAAGAGAAAGAAGGAGGTCATTAAGGGTAGAGAAGGAGTTTATACAATCATCTGAAAGGGTAAAATGCTGTTACATCTCTTGCATTTGGAAGCAGAAGCTCATATAAATTATTCATTAATCTTCCCAGCAAAAATATTCTACCTTGCCAAGCTTTTCTTGAAGATCCTGGATCTTTGTCTGCTGCTCAGCATTTGTCTAAAAAAGAAAAATACAGTCATTATCATATGTAAAGATTGATATTTAAGCGTATCATCCTTTGTTAAAGTCACCTGAACTCACCAGTGTCCTTATCTAGACATATTTTTGCAGTCCTCACCAATCACTGAATCTTATTACAATTAAAGGAACTTCATAAACTACCTTCTCCAACTTGGCCATCAGGTCCTCTGCTTCTGCTTTGCCTTGCTCTTTGGCCTGTGAAGATATAGAAAACTCTGAGATCCCTCGCAGTAATGATCATGACACGTAGGTAGAAACATCCTAATTACTACAAGTGAGTTATAATAGAATCATATTGTTACATTGAGCTACACTATGATTCTGAGCCTGTACAGTATGTACAGTATGTGCCAAAGGGACCATAACTCCTTCCTATGTAACTTTCAGGGTCATTAACTGCTTTAGTTACTGTGTAGACCTTCTGCATCCTATGCTGGTAGTCGGCTGCCTTCCTCTTCAGCTCCTCGCTGGTCTGCCGAGACTCTTTCAGCTCAGCCTCATACAAGTCGCTACGGCGACGAGCAGCAGACAGGTCCTCCTCCAGCTGTCTGATGGAAACTCGCATCTCTTCCAGCTGGGCATGATATTCCTGCACAAAGACCACAGAAACCCCTGGATAAGAGAGGAGAGAAGAAGAGCAAAGAAGAGGAAGAAGAGAGGAGAGGAGGAGAGGAAGGGAGAGGGGGAAAAGAGGGAGAGGAGCAATAGCCCTATGCACACAAAAGGAGCAATAACATTAAAAAAAGAAATTTCCAGATAAAAAGTCCATTCCACTTGGAGGAGCACATACATCTGCCAAAAAGAACCTGGAATAAGAGACAGTATTTTCAAATTCTGGCTACTTCTAAGCACTTTATCCAGTTAACATGACTATATTTGTCTATATCGGCCATTAAGGGTGCCCTTCTACCAGTGCAGCAATTCTTGAAGAAATTGGCAGAGTGATTACTATATGTCTTAAGTGGAAAACAGCTCTCCATCAGGCCCAATGCTGTTTGACCTAAAAATGTTCTTGTTAGAAGCCACTGCATCATTTATAAGAACAAAGTCATTTATAAGAGATGCATTTTAAATATGCTGCTAGCAAATGCAAACTTAACAGGATGAAAACAGCTCTCCATAGTGGAAGCAATTACATTATATGTAATTTTTCTGGTAGTAATGTGAGTACAGAGACACTTCAAATATGTTAGCAAGTATAACCACACTGATGGTATAAAAAGTCAATGAACAGAGACAGGAATGTGGAGAGAAAAATGTGATCAGCCAGAGTCACTTAATGCACATGTCTGTTTAACAGTAATTAGTCACAGCCTAACAGATCTAATTTCAACCTCCTCATCAGCTTACAGGGCACATCGGTCTGTCTGTCATTCTAATAAAAAGTAGCATCATTCTGCATCCAGGGAGACTGATGCTCAACCGACACAGATTAGGACAAGCGAAGCAGACAACATCAGACATGGTGACAACAATGTTAAAATAATTTAGAGTGGAACAGGAGGTTACATATGTAACCATGGATGTTTGAGTAAAAAGACTGTCTCCCTAACACTGTTGGCCTTCCATATGTATGGGAACTGACCTGTGTGGGTCAGGTAAGATACACTACCAGTGATGTGGCTTCGCACAATATATAAGTACCTGTGTGCCTTCCCTCTACTCATTTTGGCTCCACAAGAGTAGGTTGACAGCTCCTGTCAATGAGAACTGACTGGATCTCCTGGGAACTACCTTTCATCAGTTTGTGACTTCCCAAGTCAACAAAAGCTATAAAATTTCAGTAATTCTTCCGCGAAACAGTCACTCAGTGTGAGGAAATTAAAGACAAGGGAATTCATCTTTCAATATGATGTTCAACAACTAAGGCCTTGAGGAGCGCTGAATCACAGTTTTATTTTATTACAGAAACCCAGTTTTACAATATATTTTCTGTCCTTGGCCCATTCAGGTTATCGTTTGCGTCACTTGCCTTGAAATTTAGCCGCTGTGGATCATTTACTCATACTGAAAACACCCCCAAGAGACAAAAGAAAGACATTTAAAACTAATACAGTGTCAAGTGAGCAGTCACTGTCAACACCATGAATTCATACCACAGTTTTACAGCTTTAATACCTCCTTAAGTTTAAGAAAAACTTTCAAATCAGTGATTATTTCTCTATCTTGGCAAAAAAGCAAAGTATGTAAGCATCCAAGCTTGGTTATGTTAGATTTAAAAAAGGACAAATGTAAGATCACACTGACTAGGACTAACTAGCTCTTTACTGCAAGACAATGCGTTTTCTTTATTTCCTTATCTTCTACATAGATCATTAACATTTGTAGCAAGTTTTTAAAAAGGAGTGAGCTGGAAACAATCAAGGACCCATTATTTCAAAGATTACTACGAATTTCATGCTGTGAATCTGTCAGTGTTATTATTGTAAACAGCCTACATGCCAACGGAAAGTTTGAAAGCCATAGCAACACAATTACCATAGCGATAACTAAGGCGGGTAAAGAGGATTTTATTCAAACATGGATGTAAATAGTGCATGGCTTTCCAAATGTTTTAGAGGAAGGAAATTTTTGTTAGTACCTTCACATCTGCATTGATTTTTGTATATATCATCATTATGAGATAATGATTTTTAAATAAATCTAATGGAACTTGCAGACCTGTCCACTTGCAAGTGTAACTGTGTTAACACAACCAAGACAGAAACAACTTGGTTTTCCATAGGTCTTCTTTGCTCTCAAGTCTGTGGTGAAATTGTGTGTTTGCATATGTTTGCAGGTCTTAATGGCTTTGGCACAGATTGCTTTTCTCTGAAAATGAATCTATCCCCAATCTCTACTGTTTGTTGTTCCAACACTGCATGACTTGTGCATGAAAATGATAAACACTGCAGTCATATGACAGAGCGTGGGAGACAGATGCTTTTCAAGATGAAATGCTGGATTTAGCTAGCGCAAATACCCTGCAGAGAGGCACCAATGGGAACACAGGGCCAGTTAATATGCACCAAACTAGTGTGTGTGTGTATGTATATGTGTATATATATACATACATATCTTGCTTGATACACATCCAGTTATGAGATGTTAAAATTACCCACAGTCTTACAGCTGTTGATCAACATGAACCTTCACTCACACCTCCTGACAATCCTGAAGGCGGTTTATTATGAATATTCCCCTGTTCAACTTCCAACAGTCGCTTTGGTAGCAATGCCGGCACAAATGTCAAACTAGCAATCTAACATGTTTATAGTTAGGCTTGCTCTCTGAGGTTGTAAACAAAACTGTCAAGGAGAATGAAAACTCATAGTCAGCTTTTCAGGCTCAGCTATACATGCTAAAATTAACATTAGAGTAACAACGTTGCTGAGGAAAGGGATCTGACAGCTCCTCCTGAGGGATCCCCAAGGGCCTCAGTATGCTTCAAATAGGAAGTAAGCGAAGAGTCTAAACAGGATATGAAACGCCCTTCGTACTGGGGGTCTGCATCTGACAATTTTTGTAACTTTCCAAAACAAACAATCTGTCCAGGTGTGTACAGTACTGGATATAAAATCAAGTTTTTCAAAACTGTCTCACCAGGGGAGATACGAGATAATAAAAAAGCTCTATTCAGGACAGGGTGCATTCCTCAAACACACATCGTCACTAATTTTAGGGCGGTATATCAAGTGATGGTCAAAAATTCTCCTTCTCAAACAGTATGAGCTAAGGTCCCAGCACCTCATCACGACAGCCTGCCCACTGCATCAGTGCTCTCTTCAATCGTAGGTATATGGCTCTCATCACCATAGCAACCATTGCACAATGTATTCAGTGCTTGGTAACCAGCCCTAGTGTAGGCTGAGAAAAAACAGGTTGCTTTTCTATTACCTTTTTCAGAAAAAAAAAGGTGCATAAAGCCAGGAAGATGATTCTTCATGCTCTCTGTCTGTTGTCCTAAGCTGTCAGCCTTGTAACGGCTTAATTCTCACAGTTGGCAACGCTCGGTCATGTGGTGCTGACACAAAAACATTCATACATGCCACACTCGTCACATTAGATTTCAGTAATTAAGGGGTGCGTGTACAGTAAAGCTCCCCTGTCTCTTTCTCCATTAATGGTATTCCTGATTCCAGAGAGATTCACACTGACACACCTGATACAGTCCTTATACTACATACAGAGAACTACAGACTGTATAACCAACTTAGTCTGAGAAATCGGGTGCATTGCTTTTTTCTTTCAAATAAACTAATAAACTTTGAATTAATTTTATTGTGAAGTGAATCTCTCTTCTCAAACATTGAAAATCTTCACAGACACATAATAAGTCAATAAAACACTGTGGTTAAACTACATCCTTATATTGTATATTCTCGATGAGAAAAGGTTCAAGGATTTAAATGAAAAGGTGATGACAACAATTCACATATGTATACTACTGCAGCATGAGGCATTTCTTAACATGCTGCACAGTAAGTGCTTAATGCTATACTGACTGCACCCCTACAGAGAGTGGTGGGGCTCCAACATCATGTGCCTGTCTAATTAACACTCACACCCCACACACTCAGCCTTGGTGACTTGACCTGCTCCATCTGACTGTCATTATGAAACATTCCCAACCTGCTTCTTTTCTAAGAGATAATTCTTTTGACATTTCTCCTGCATGTGTTACATAGAGTACAGTATACCCATCACTGCAAGTATCCATCAAATAAGGGAATTAGATTTAGTTCAAGTTAAAACCAGTGATGGATTAGTGATTTGCTATTCCTTGGTTCAGTTTTGAGCCCACGACATTAGGAGTAAACAGTATGTATCTCAACCCACTGACCGACCAGGATGACACCCACAATGCCGTCCTACCTGTTCTTTGATCTCTTGCAGCTTGTTGCTTTGCTCCCGGATGTCGTGGAGAAGCTGCAGTGCTTTATCGTCCTCCTGTGACACCTCCATACGAGCCTGTTCCAAGCTGCGCTTTAGACTCTGAAACACATACACATACGTTCAGTCAGTTGACAGTTTGTTACACCCAGCTAAAACAAATACAGTCTAATACAATAGCTCTGCAATGCATACGGATAATGTGAAGTTTTTGTTTGTGTCAATTTTGGTCATTGTGGATTATGTTAAGCTAAGATGTGTTTTATCCACCCACACATGCATATTTGGAAGAAGTAAAACAGTCCACGTGTTGTCCACTGTAGTAACTACAGGCCTACTCACACTGCATTCTGTGATGTAGGTGGCCAGGTCCTGTTCCAGGATGGTCCTCTGGGTCTCTGAGGCCTTCAACTCTATATCCTTCTGCTGCAACACTGACTCAAGGTCAGACATCTTCCTCTGGACGAGTGAGATTTCCTGCTCAACCTGGAAACATAGCATGGACATAACGTTTCTCTGATGGTCTTGTATCATTTAATGAATCTCTGAGCCCATGGATGAGAGTAGATAAAATATTTTACAGCGTCCCTTGAGAGTGTAGCCGTGTTAGGGATATCTTCTTATTGGCTAAAATATGTGTGTGTGTGTGTGTGTGCAAGACTGGACTTTGGTGGCACATGTCATTGGTAGCAATCAATGATACAATTAGATGTGCCATTACAGCATTACAGGGCCTGAGGAGTGCTGGAAACCAGAGAAACAGCAGGGCTTGCAGCACAGTCGCAGATACACAGTCACAGCACTTAGTGTATGGTAACACTAACACACAGTCAGAATGCAGACACATGCTCACAACAACATGGCGCCACAGCATGGGGCTGGAGCCAGTTAAAGCAATGGGATAACACTGCACTGGAATCCAACGTCACTGCAAAGAATCACTAGATTTGACCATTTAAACACATTTAAGAGGAAGATGAAAAGATGCTGTATAGTGATCTGATTATAACAAAGGTTAATGATGGACATTACCTACAAAATCTTACAGAAATAGGTCAGTGAAGTTTGTGCTTTTTAGATCTAAAATGTTGATTTATGGTGGGATGGAGGTGGTGAAGTGGTTCAGTTATTGTTGTCAAGTCTATACTACTTTAAATAGAGTATTCCCTGTTTTGCAAGTTGCTTCACACATCACTGCGAGCTGTTGGGTGGAATATACCGAACCACATGCTAACCTCACTTTCAGTATTTTTAATTTACAATTACAAGACAAAATGAGTCAATACGTATGTTTGAATCTCACTACAAGCCAGTAGAGCAAACCCACATAAAGATTATCTTTACCATGGAGGATTAACTCATCTCACTGTAAAACCAAATGGTAAAATGTGTTGATGGAGGATGTTTAGCAAAACAGACATTCATGTGATGTTTTGAAACAAAATGGATAATTATTTATAGTTTGCTTTCTTTTTTTTTGTCACTGATAGAAATAACAAGTATATTTTGGAAAAAGGTAGGAGAGAGTGGGAGGAGAGATGCATGCACTCATCACTAATGTTAATTCACTTTTTTTAAGTGTTTCAACATTTAGATTAACCTAGTTTGACTTCTCTTTTCATAGTTTTTCCATTGCATGGGAAAGACCATATCTTTTTTAAGTACCTCAGCACCTCATACTCTTGTTTTACTTTTAAGGTACTTCCACTTGTAATTTCATCCCATGTGTTAAAAAGAACCATAAGTGTTCAATCACACACCCATACTTTTTCGTGAAGCCTGTACAACTGTGTCAGATTCATGCCAGAAGGACGGCCCCATTTTCACAAATAGTCAGATAGTGACATGGAATACTAAGATACATAAACACACACACACACCAGCTCAGCTATGATGTAAAGGCAAAGTGACAAACAGATGGCTGATTTAGCTCATTCTGGAAACAAACTCTTACCATGTGAAGAGTAATACCTGTGACATGTGTCCGGCAATTCTGGCTGTTTTGTCTTTTTAATGAGGTTTTTCCAAAAGAGATGGTCTTATCTAGAGAGTTGATGGATGGTAGTCACCAGTCTGTAGGAGAGGAGAGCGTGAAGAGAGGATGGGAGATAGGGAATAGGGAGAGACACATGACAGTAATCAGTCTTTATGCCCAACCTCTCTTGAACACTGACGAAGGGCTGACTCAGTGCTCTTATGTAAAACACTTATCTTTTATAATCATACTGTATACATGGCTTTTTTTTTTCAGTCTGTCAACTGGAATAATTTACCTTCCATATATGTTCTGACACTCATCATTAAAGTTACAGCAGGCTGTCGAATACACGCATCTACTTTTAAACAACTAAGGACGTTTGTTAAGCCCTAGATTACAGTTGTGATTATTGCAATCAAAACTAGATATGTTCATTACAAATAGCTAATCAAGAAAATGTGCCCTTATTAAACACATTTCAAAACCAAATTGTAACATTGGCTTTAATGCCAAGCAATTAGCAATCAAGCACTGAAGGCTTGAGAAATTCACATAACAGATATACCTGGAAACCTATTACTGTAACACTTCTTCTATTAAACAGTAACATGATCACACAGATAACTAGCAGATGCATGTTGTTCACAGTTTAGATATTTAGTGAGTATACCACAGGAGAGCCAAACTGTGCTGACCAAATATGCGCTCATATTCTAGCTTAGCAGAGACTATAAATAGCCCGCTCGTGTTCACACAACAGCCTCTTTCACCACCACTGGATATATTTGGCAGCTTTTGTGATCAAGAGGCAGGCAGAAGAATGAGCGACAGAGGGAGAAAGTCTATAAAAAGCAGAGACTCACCTCCCACTCCTCCCTACATACTCAGCTCAAGCTCAGCTAACATGTGGACTCTGGCGGATTGCTGTTTGTTTTTACTGCTGCATTATTGTTATGATGTGAATTGTCATTTATATTGCCTGTATTGCTTTTTTAGTGTATACTTTCCAGCAGGACATGGCCATCACATTTGTTGCTGCCCAGAAGATGGCATGCAGTAGTATCTGATTAAAAAAACACCCAAAGCTATGCAGACATTGCAGCCGAACAACAGACATTATGAGTCTTAAGGGATGACTCTGGTGCTTACTAATATTTCCCCCAGATATGTGAGTGATGTAATCCTTATGCTTGGAGGGTCATTTTGGGGTTTGGTTTGTTCAATGACACAGCAGGGCCACGCAGCATGTTCCCAAGCTGCATCAGAATACTGCCTGGTCCTCCAGTTTCATTGGCATGACATGATGCAGGAACAGGTGGCTTGTAATGAGTGATGATGGGTATGAGCGAAGCGTTAGCTGAGGTGAGCTTTCTATAGCACCTGCTGATCTTCATCAATGGCACATAATTCTGCTGTCTGGTTTAGATGAGGTGTCAAAATGTCCTGTTTGTATTTATTGCTCTGAAACCAGGCAGCAAAGTAGTTAGAGAAATCATTTTAACCTCACAGATGTGATCCCCTAAAGGTTTTTTTTCATGTGAAAGCATTTTGACTGGCAGACACCTTATTTGCCCCACTGGTCCATGTCTCCTAGCAGCTCCCAGAGCTCCTAATGAACGCCATACATTTATGTATGCTGGGACACTAACAACACTGCATGATTTAGTGTTGTATACTTCCTAACAATGTGGAGAACTTCCTCAACAGCCAGCCAGTGGTAAAGTTGGTGGTTACAGGATGCCATGCTAGCATGAGGCACCAGATGGGACTCAGATCTGGCTGTCTTCCTCCTAGACTCAAGTGCTAGCTGACTGGCCATAATGAGCTGAGCTAACAGACTGTGCAGCTGGGCCCCTCCTCTGCAATAATTAAGCTCCCTGAAAGCAATTACTAATAATAACTATACTTTTATAAAGCTTATTACAACTACAGGAAAGACAGCTTCACCGCTGAGCTGGCCTATCTGATTCCCAATTTCTGTTTTTGTACACATGTTCCAGTCCAGAAAACGATCCTATATTTTTTCTTGTTTTTTACAATCCGTGCCAGCCACATAATTACGGTACCTTCAATCAGAAATGTACCACAAATACCGCTTGTTTGTGAGAGCCCATCAACAACAGTAACATTCACTGAGGAACATTGGCTTCCAACTAAGTCGAGGAGCTCTTTTTCGTGGGTTGAATAATGTGTGCTGGGCTGTGAGTCAGAGTTGTTGAAGAGGAGGAGAGTGGATAGAGGTTGCATCCCAGTCATAGTGTTGCTCTACATTCAGTCTGCAGGGTGACCAGGGGCAGGTGCTACTGTATGGGCTGTAGGCAGCGGTGAATCACAGACCTGTTGCAACACTGTAGTGGCACAGATTCTTCTCTAAAAACCAGCTCACAGTCCCTCTCCCATATACTCACCTCTAGTTTGATCTTTCAGCCTGTCCTCTCCACATGTACTAAGAGACACATTATGCCTATTGTCATGACAACAACAAATTAGTAATACCACAGTCATGCAAGAAAGATTGAGCGCTTCGGGCTTCTGCTTCAGCTCTCTGATTCAAACGTGGTTTTCAAGCTCCATAGTTTCCTGCTAAACACCACAGGCTTTGAAGATTAACCCGGGCCAATCCGTAAATGCAGCCTCATCCATAGAATATGTTTGACATTAGAGTGCCATATATTTTCAGAGGTGCATAATAGCTCTAGTGCATTTGCATTGGTTAGCACAATTCATGCATTAAAATGAATGATTTGAATACATTTCAATAGATTGTGAAGCTGCTGCAAATGATGCTGGAGATTTTTATCCTTATCCTGATAGTTAACTCAAAACTCAAATGAAGACATTGGGGCTGCACAATATGGTAAAAACCATATGCCAATTATTTTGACACATACTGAGATTGCATTATGATTTACGATTGGGAATTATCATTTTTGCATCACAAATTTAATTTTCACTAAAACTATTAAAAGTTATGATGATCATGTGACATTTGTTGGGGTCGGTACCAAACAAACAAGTTTTTCTTACATCTGGAAAACAAGATTTGTAGGCTAGGGCATCTCTTCAGAACTACTGTACAGTAATGCTGTAATGTGCAACAAGCATATTTTACCTTAATCAAAAAAATTGCAGCTTTTGTGATTTGGATATTGCACTTGGTCATATTGCAATTTTGATAATATTTCGATTAACGGTGCAGCCCTTGAATATATAAACATTGGTCCGAAATAGCTACCTTTTGTTATATGAGCTATTCAAAGAAAATCACACCTGAAACAGTTCAAACTGGTGTTCAGAATTGCACTTTTAGGCCAGCAGTACCCAAGCTGTTGTCATGTTAAAATTATTACAAGTATCCAGTGGAACATGTTGCAATAGAAGGGGTGTAAACCCAGTCTGCTAAAGCTACAATTAGCATTTAATTACTAATTGGCTGGTATTATTCCTCAACTCTCCAATGACAAGACTGTTGCACAGTGACTGTCTGACACAAGGTGGGTTAAATAATACTAAAAACACTCTCAGTTTTCACTGGGGCCACCAAAGCGACAGATCTGCACCTGAATGCTCCGGCACTGATGCATCCCCCATCTGTGGTGGTCGAGCTGACAGAACATCACAATCTATAAAAGTATGATGAGCACTTGGGGAAGGCACTTCAAAAATCCAGTCCATCATTATATCACAACTCCAAATGACAAAGAGGATCAGTGTGGGCTTCTAAAGGAGGCTTTTGGGAAAATTACACTTGAGGATATGGAGCAGTAGAGCTCTCTCTCTCTCTCTCATCACAACTCACATTAGCATTGACGGATCTGTTCTGCAGAGAGTTGCTTTCTGACTATGCACAGGTGTCTCTCATTTCCTCTGATCCATCTACTGCCAATTTGGTCTGCCTCCATGAACAGGTTAACACAGATTAAAATAAACACCAACAGATGTAAGTGCACAGTCCTCCTGTAAAACATTGAACCATTAAAATAAGGAATACATACAGTCTTCATGTTTTAGGTAACTTATAAAGCACACAAATCACACTATCCAGTTGCTCTACATAATACTACATACTGTGATAATCTATCTCTCCAGGAATGTATCTATAATTTTCTCTTTCTCTCCCACAATCTCTTCATTAATATTCCGTTTTGTTCTGAAAAGTCAGTGCTGTAATTTATGATCCAGCTGAATAGGCGCCAGAAAGAAGCAGCAAGCTTCCTTCACCTCTCCTCTACCCTTGGCAAAACCCGCTGTTACCATAGAGATACTTTCCTCCAACCACAGTCTTCGTCTTGTCATACTTTTTCCCACTGACTTTGTCATTTCAGCTTTCTTTTAGAATCTCAGTCCCAACTACTACAGCACCTCCACCAACAGGAAGCCTAAAGTGAGTTCAGATCATCTGGAGAATCACTGTATTATACTGTAGATAAACTTTGTCTCAAAACTTCCTCAGTCTTGGTATAGATTAATCCGATTCCTGAAAAGGGCATGCAGTGGTCTCATTATGAGCATACACAAACAGGGCAGAGTTTGAACGCCACCCCGGGGAGTGATAGCCATCTGTATGAGTGTATGCTACAGTACGCACAGCGATGAGGGTGTCGTGACCAAGAACAGCGCTCACTCCTGTTAGACAAGATACAGCTGCTGCATAAGCTCTGTACTCAATGCTATCACTCCATAAACCCCAGCACTGTCACTCAGTCAGGTAATAGTTCCAACATGCTGAGATGGGGAAAACAACGATGCACTGTAGCAAACACACTGGTTTCATCCTTTCATCCCCCTCACCCCTTCCCTTCTCTTTGACAGGAGCCGCACTGTAAGTAAAATAGTATGGCACTTACTCAGAGACTGCTACAGCTGATGGGTTTCCTACGAAGCTCCTTAGACGCGGCACCACCTCGTCCAGTAAGCCCGTTCATGTGGGGTCTCCCTCGGAAGCCACCAGCCGGAATGAGAGCTTCGCTGGTTCATCAAATTTGGGGATGTCATCCTCACTGGGGAGAGAGCGGAGCCGAGGGGGGAGAGAGATGTGCTGTGGCGGGGCAGAAAGCTGGGAGGCAGCGAGAGCGGCTGGAGATTACTGCCAGCAGAGAGACAGAGCGGAGGAGAGAGGGAGGGAGTGCAGGACTACCGAGGAATGGCATTGTAGAGTAATGCAGCAGACCGGTGATCACATACTGTAGAGAGTGAGAGGAAGCTCTCACTCTCTCTCTCTCTCTCTCTCTCTACTCTGTCAAGCGCTCACCCTTACCACCCCCCAACTCTTTCCTCTTCTCCCTGTATACTGCAGCAGCCGTCACTAATCACACTAATGTATGCAGCTTGACACACTGCGATAACAGTCAGCACCCAGTGCTCGCAAAGTACTGTACGTTCATGTCAGGTACTAAAAACCTGGAATTGTGCAGCTCATTAGTGACTAAACACAATGACCCCATACTAAACCTTCTCTAAATGAATAGAAGCAATGCAATCTAATAACTGAACTCTAATAACTAAACAAGAACCATTCAGAAGAGATGCAGGTTCTTTCTTGAAAAAGGAGAAGGCAGTATAAATGTTTATATTGTTTAATTATGTAGAATTTTTCATAAATAGCACTGAATTCTCTCCTGAAGAAAGCGGAATATGAAATTAGGTTTTTAGCAAAAGGGAAACCATTTCTTTATTTTATAGCAGTGCAAAAACAATAGTAATGTTTGACTTATAACATACAGTAGCCTTCCTGTAGAATTTATAAATTCTATTTGCAGAGATGATCACTTTCTCAAATAAGGGCTATGAGTCTTTGAGTCTGTCAAACTTTTCATTTGTATTTTCCCATTAGTTTCATAGTACAGTTGCTACTGTGTTCTTTTTGCTTCTAGATAAAGCCCAGCAAGGAGCTTTCTAACAATATGTCATCATTCCTTACCACCAAAATGTCACTAACATTTCTGTAATTGCTTGAAATAAAAGCATTAAACAGAGCATTGCTGCTAAACTACACGTGAAGTGCACTGTGTCAGAATAACCTCTAATGGCACTGTAACAGAGTACACTGAAAGTACTGTAAACTAATGTACACAGATAACACTGTGACAAAGCATATTGAAGTATTATTGTACAAGAGTTAACAGTACTGTCATGACACAACCTAACAAGGTCCCCAGTGTCTGACACACTAGTTCAGCCTCACCTCAATTTTCTTGTTTTTATGTTAATGTAAGCCAAGTGACACGTCACTGTGATACTGAATTGCAAACTACACACACACACAGTGACAGATTACACACACACTAACAGATGGCAGAACCTAACCTGGCAAGCAGTACTGCATCAGCGCAGAAGAAGGGACAAAATGCTCAGAAGGTGAAAGCACAGTACTGTACAATCAATGAGTGTTACAGTAACCAGTGGCAGTACTCACTTATACTTCTTACTGGTTGTTAATTGGACTTTTATGTCTGTATTACTAATGAAGGCATGTGGAAAACCTTAGCTGTATAACAAAAGAGTTTTTGTACGTAAGGCCAGGGCAGCATACCCCCATATGCTGGCCTGGAATCAAATCACATCTCCACTATCTTCATCTCTACACATCCTCCATACTGATTGAATTTGTCTCTTTGCTCCTTGAATCCAGTGCGTTAATGACATTGTTTTAGTTCGGTTCTTTCAGGCCTTTTCAGGGAAGCAGATCTGTTACTGTAATCATCAGAGAAAGAGCCCACAATTAAAGATTTCCCGACATGGACCCAGGATGAGGTCTTACCTGCCACAGAAACAGCCTCTCAAAGTGACACCTATGCAACCTAACATCTGTGCAGGTGAGAAGCGCAGTTTTCTTATCAATCCTTCATTATGCTTGGGAAAAAAATGTAAAATGATTAATGAACAGAACTTTTAGCTTATGCCATTACATAATGCAGTCTGCTGTTAGACCTTTGTGCCTTTTTTCAGCATGACACTTTTTTAAACCTTTACTATACAGCCTGTTGTGGAGACAGCTATTACAGGTTACTGCTCGCAAAGTAAAAACAATCTTTTTAAAGTCTGCATGTATTTTCCTATGCCACATTAAGCATTCCTAACATTCACATAGTTACATGTGAAAGCAATACTGGTAAACTATTAATAACAGTTTATATTAACGTTATAACGATTTACTGACATCGGTATGAAAAAGGGTTGCATTTTCGCAGTGATTTGGAGGAGTATTGGGTTGAGGCAGAGGCATCATACTGATGTTACCTAGCAACAAGGTATTGTATGTCTCTAAGGCCAATACCAGCTTTCTGAAGTAAAGATGGAAAATTACAATTCTTTTGACTAGATGTTTTCACTAGGCTGTCCCTGTAACGTAATGTAATGAATTACCTCAAAATCACTTCATATTCTGTTGACAATTCAAATCTTTCTACAGTGTGTAAGCCCAGTACTGTTAATTTTTTAAAGGTTGTTTTTATGTCCGTGCACAGCAATGGTAAATGCTTTAAATAGTAGTATACCAATAGAGCAATGGCAGAACCTATCAACAAGGGGAAACTTAACCGATCAGAGAGAGCGGTACCTCTGCAGCAGGTGCCTGACAAGCTTTCCAAGTCATCTAGAAGAAGTATAAAAACACTGCCTCCCACTGGCAAAATATTGAAATGGCTACGTTTCTATATGTCTTGTGTGTTCTGTATGTTGGTATGAGGTTAGGGGGTATCAGAGAGAAATAGTGCAATCTAGAGGTTTGAAGAGTCTAGTTTTGTTACATAACAGCCTTGCATTAGTTGAAAAAAGGCAGAGTCAGGCCTGTATGACTAAGGGTTGGTGTTACATAAGCACAGAACACTAAGTACTAGGAAGACACTACTCGTTGTAAACTGGCACTATTAAAGGAGCTAGATTCACTGTTTGAGGGGAATAAAGGTTGCTTATTCAGTAGGTAAATTACATGACTACCACAAGACAATATGGAGAAGGGATGGGATGCTGCCGCTCGCAGATTTACAGACAAAGCTTTTGATGTCTTTGACAATCCATCACAGACATAAGGTTATATGTTGTCTGGGGGAATTGGTTATAAATGCTGGACCTCTGTAACCTGAGTTACAACTGTATGGCTGCCTATGTTTAAAAAGACAATTTTGTTTATTCATGGATCCTTAATCTCTCATAACCAAAGTAATTGCTGATCATTCATAAAATCATTGCATGGTGGTTTATAGCATTGATCATTATAACACAGCAACCCCAAAGTTTTAAGATCTGATCTGTGCAGTTCTTTAGCGCTGTGTAAGCTCTTGATTGTTTACCCATCATTTTGGGAAATGTGAATGTAATATCATTTTTTTCCCACAGATGGAGCCACAGTCTATAATAAAGAGCAATAAGGAGCCAGTTGGTAATGTTTATCTCCATCCAAAGAGGCAGGCAATGTGGTAGATCAGTGCTTCCTCAAACTTATTTCATTAATGTACCAATTTGATTACCCACTGACCAGTACAAGCTATCGGTGTCTGATTTATTAAGAAAAACACTTAAATGCTTCATTTCAGTTGTTTAGAATCCATCATCAAAGAAATTCATGCCAAACTAATGTGCTGGCATCATGCAATAACGTGAAAGCAATGTGGTTGCACTGAACTGAGAGAAACATGGCTTGTTGTGCTTTACTGAGGATCTCTGTCATTCTAGGTGGCAGGCCACCAGAGGTTTTACTGCAGTTGAAAATTTGTGGCTGATTGCATTGAAAATAGGAATATTTGATAAAATATGTGCTTTACTTATATATTTTTTTTGAAACTGTATAATTATTTTAGGAATTATGCATGACTGACATTTTTTTATTATTTATTTATTTTTTAAATCAAGCACCCCTGCAGTATTGCCCCTGCAGGGGGTATGTGTGGTAGTCGATTTATCAATACTACCAACAAAAAGCTTCATGCAATCATCAGTTTCTTCTCCTACGATGACCAAAATGTACATTATCTACCAAAAACGTTATGTAACATTACATATTGCTGTGCTAATATGTCACAATGTTTTAACATTAACACTGTCCATTTATAAGCTCTCTGATGGGATTTTTATTGTATTTAACTCTAGTTCAGTCTTTTATTTATTTATTTTTTTTGCTGCATTGTAACAGTAATTGTTAACATATTGTTTGTAATACAAATCTTATTAACTCTAAAAGCAACCCACTTCAGACTGATCTGGCTGTAATACTGTGTGTAATAGCACAGAGGTTGTTGTTGTTTTTCCTTGTGTTTGCCATCAACTCAACACCAGCAGCATTACACTAATAAGGATAATGTAGGCTGCAAAATTCACTCGGCTTAGCAGTTTATCCAAGCAGTGAGGTTTTGATGTGCTCTGAGGAAATCACCCATTATCTACTGTGTGGCCCCCCACGACCCCTGGAGCTAGGGACAGTGGACCAGCAGGCTGTGACCCACTTCTTTTGTGCCTTCATTTTATCAGCTCAAGAGGCTTTGTTTGCAATCATTCATCATCAATGCCCCGCCCCCGACATCCTATCCTCATCTCTACCCCTTCATCCCCCGCTCACACACACAGAGACACACATATTGCTGTATCTGTGAGGGCCTTTAATCAGAATGTTAATTCCTTAACCTTCAACCTAAAATCACACTAATGTAATCCTAATCCTGACGGTAATATTAACCTTTAATTTATGCCCTGACCCTAAATGAGCCAGTTAGCAAGCAGTTCTCAGTGTTACGCTTCTGTTTAAAATATGCACACATCAATATGCAGTCTGACACCCAATTCAGAAAAAACAAGGAAGTTATGCATCTATACATCTGATTCAATTAACATCTTTTGTATTGTCCTGATCCCATAATTCCTAACATTCCACGAGTGAGGTCCAGCTTGCTGATGTGGAATTATAGGGATTATTATTCTTAAATTAATAGCTTAGTTTCTTGGGACCAAATCCTACCACCTTCATCCATGGAAAAAAGAGAGAAAAATACCTTCAAAATAGATGTTAGCCTTGGCATGGCATGGCATTTTCAAATTAGCCTGGGGCAGTTGAACTTGAAGCTTAAGGCCAGTGTGACATTTCTCTTCATATGGAGCCATGTACAGCTGCTATGGATGCAAACAGCTACAATTAAATTCACATTACATTTGTTTACCAATTATACATAGTTCAATTAATCTAATTTGATTCTGTCATAAATGTACAAGTGTTATCAGCAAATTGTACTTCAAAAGTAAGTAAAATCAAAAAGTAAATGTAGGCTACTTATTATTCAGAGTGGGACCTTTCATAATGTCACATAGCTATATTATTACAGCACTCTAATGTTTAAGGTGGGAATACAATTTTACTTTACACACTAAGTGTTTAATATAACAGTTTAAACAATAACAATGCATCATATTTGATAAAAATCCTGCCATGTACCTGGTAACTTTAGCTGTCACATAAATAAGTTCCTCTGAAATGTAATGAAGTCACCATAAAATGGAAATACTCAAGTGAGGTGGCTACAAGTTGTATTTGCAGCACAGTTGCCTTTATGTATTTCAGACAATAGATCAGTTACTTTTCACCACTGGGGATACTGGGAAAACAGGAAACCAAAAAAAGTGTCAAATTATCTTTTTTGTGGGTAAGGTCAGAAAAACATCATAATTGGGGTAGCGGTTCTCTCTAACATGATATTATTTAATATCATAATATGTCAAATTAAGCAAATAATATTCATCATCATATTTTTAGGTTTAAAGCACCGGCTTCAATTCAAGGGAATCTCCAAACATCACAGGATGTTCTTGCTTCACCATTTCTGACCCAAATTTGACCAGTAGCAGTATATATAATGTTACTGTCAATGGTTACATATTAACCTATATCTATTAATGCTTATTCAATGGTTACAGAATACATATAAACGTTTACTGTCAGTTGTTGATGCAGTACCCATTACTTACCTACTACATCGTTACTGTCAGTAGTTACCAGTTCATTAATATATAAATGTTACTGTCAATGGTATCACACGCCCCCTCCCCCCCCCCCCACCCTACCTACTATATAAGTCTACTGTCACGTCGGATCTAACCAGCCTACTACCTATATAACGGTTATCATCAGTGGTTACAGACGTATAACCTATATAATGTACTCGGTCGAGTGGTACCAGTATCTTACCTATACAGTTTACTGTAGTGGGTACAGCCTATACTAAATACCGTATCCGTCAGTGGTTACCAGACTACTGATCCTATATAACGTTACTGTCAATAGTTAAGGTCTGTTCTTGTGATAGCCCTTCACGTGCTCATTTGCTGGGTGTCACAGATGTGTGCAAGAAGCACCAAAATATGGCGCTATCATTTTCAGCCAATGGGCTGGCCGTTTGTAACAGGTCGCAGCCGGCGTCACTACCGTGGCGGGAACGCGCATTTAAGACGGGAAAGAGGTTGAGAAGGCATCGGGATCGCGCTCATCTGTTTGGCTGGCAAATGCCTCCGGTGTAACAGGCCGATCATTATGGGGGACCCAGGACCCCGAGACGGGATGGACCATGACCGACCGACCGCTACGCAGAGCTCATCGAGGCGGTTTATTCCGGGATAATAACATTGTGTGTGTCCATCAATAAACAGCCAGTCAGTGAGCTGCAGAGGAGGCGGTGTTTGCTGGGATTCATTCAGAGCCAGAGTCGCGGCTGGTAGGTTAACGAGGAGGAGAGAGGGACGTGAGGAAACTGGGAAGACGATAGTTTACAATCTAACTGGATCCTGCTCGGAATTGCGAGAATGGTGGATGAAATGTCGATTACAAGCCGGTCCGGTCAGCCCAACCCTGTCAGAGCAGGGTGGGTTCATCCGGAGTGAAATCGGTCGGCTCTTATCTGTTGGCTTCTCCTCCGCCGGGCGGCGATGTCCGCTTTCTGCCTAGACCTGCAGACGTCCGCCGTGGTTTCAGCACCACTGGAGCTGGACAGCGACTGCATGGAGCCCCGGGCCAGCCCTGCAGCTCAGGAGCCGGGCGGCTTTCAGGGTCACCCGTTGCGGCACACCGGCTCCGGAGGCCTCGGCATGGCCTTAGAGGAGGAACTGGCCATGCTTACCGGGGAGCGGGACGACGAGAAGCAGCTGTCGGACCTAGAGACGCCTGCAGACTTGTTGTCGCTCTTCCGTCAAAAGGAAAAAGACTTGGTTTTAGCTGCTAAACTCGGCAAAGCGCTGCTCGAGAGAAACCAAGACTTGACCAAGCAATATGAGAAAATGCACAAAGATCTCAACGAGAAATTAGAGGTAAACTAAGAAAAGAAAATATCATATACTCAAGTTTTAATGCTGCCGCATCTCTGGTTTGTTCTGAAAATGCCATCATCCTACAGTTAAGTTTGGGCCTTTGCATTGTAAACAAACTCAAGAGGATCATAACAAATGCTGCCTGTAGCAGCTGTTTCTAGCATGATTCGCTTTTTTATGCATATAGTTGTGCTATAGACTGGGAACTAGCTACACTGGGTGAATTGAAACTTGCTGGTCATTCTAAGTCTACTACACTGTCATTAACAGCCAAGCTAAAGAAGCTGTAGCACAGTCCTAAGTCATTTCACACATCATGTTTACATTGAATGCTGTACAGCTGAGCTTTTGTTCATGTTGTTTTTCAAAATCCTTCACACTAGCAAGCACGTGGCCTGAGAAAAAACAAAGGCTAATCCTGTGGCTGTCCAGGGCCTACTGTATCTACTGTACATCTGTTCAGCCCTTTGATCCATATTCATCCCTGTGTTGCAGCTCAGAGAAATAAGCTGCATCTTAATGTCAAACTCCTCTTATCATTGATGTCGTTACAGTTCCTGGTATCTTATTCCGACAGGGTTTGATGTTGTTTTGATTCTCTTTGATCCCTCCTTTTGTTCGGGCATTCACACAGAGATGAAAATAGTGGTCACACAGATGCCAGCTGCTTCAGCCTTGGACTTAACCACAACCCCCCATCCAAACTCTGGCAGCCACTGGTGGTGCAGTGCATCTGTCCACTGTTTGTTGCCATCTAGAGAATAGAAAGAAGCTTCTTATTAGCCGGACTGTCACTCCAAGAGCTAGGAAAACAAGACACTGGTTCAGTTTGTTTTTGTTGTTTTTTCACTCTTTCTTCCCAATTTTATTTATACATATATAGATACCACCAAATCATAAGTTACACTTTTCATATAGAGCCTGTCTAGACCGTATTCTTTATAATATTATTAACAGAGACCGAACAACTCCCAGTTGTCTATCTCTACTTTATATCATTAAATTTTGGGTTTGCATTTTTTTATTGCCCCGTTTTGCATGTTTTTATGTGTTGTTTAGTAACGAAACTTTCCATTTCTGGCATATGGCACAATATTCCAATTTTCTTTACATTGTTAGCATCATATGTTAATGCTGATTGTATAGTCATTGACGTCATTAGCACCACGATTTAAATAAGTCAGATTTTTGCATAAAAGGTAAAAAAAAGTTAAGACTGGAAATGTGATCTTTCAAAACAACAACTTGGTTGTGCCTTTATTGTAGTGTTTATTACACAATGATGTGTAGTGAGGGGATCAAGTTGTCCCCCTAAATTATTTTACCTTAAATATGAATAAATGTTTCCAAGGATCAAGAACAACTTTCTCAGGTTGTTGAAGCACCAGCCTCTGTGTGTCTCTGACTTTGTCACCCTTAGTGATTTGTACTGTATGTTCTGTACAATTACGACAGCACTGTAAAACAAATTCAAGCAAATGAAGGTTTAACCCTATATCACCCTCTCTCCCCTCATTCACATGCAGCACTTGGAGCAGGAGAAGCACGAGTTGCGTCGGCGTCTGGAAAGTCGAGAGGGGGAGTGGGAGGGCCGTGTGGCCGAGCTGGAGACGGACGTCCAGCAGCTGCAGGGTGAGCTGGAGCGCCACCAGGTCCAGCTGAGGGAGGCCGACAGAGACAAGACCAAGGCCATCAGTGAGCTCTCTGAACAGAACCATAGACTGCTGGAGCAACTCAGTAGGGTGAGCAGCAGGGCCTGTGTGTGTGTGTGTGTGTGTGTGTGTGTGTGTGTGTGTGCTTCAGATGTACTGCCTGAGGGCAAATCTGCATGGATGATTTAATTAGCCTGGGCTTTGAGTCACTGTGTCACATGGTCTTAATGCTGCTTTAAATGCCCCTCCACCCTGTGTGCGTGCGTGTATGTGTGTATACAGTATGTGCTTCTCCCTGGCCTGGCCTTGGGGCCACTCAGTCCAGTTCAAGTCTGCCTGGCTGACATGACATAAGATGCTCAGCCAAGTGAGGATTCATCATCCCTCAGGGGGGGATTTACCTCCATTCAGCCTGACTCTCTCTAACATCACCTGAATTATGCTAAGTCATCAATATAAAAGTGGAGCTTCCGGGTCTTATGTTGAATAATTTAGAATGATTGGACTACACACTTATGCAACAGCACTCTGCATATTGACAGGTCATTTGAGTGCAGTTATTATAACAGACAGAGCAGAAAAGGTCACATATGAAACATTCAGACTGATTGATGGATGGACAGACAGACAGATAGATACATACATACATATAGCAGCGCTCAAGGTTGCAAGGTTTGGTGCTGTATCCTTGTTGATGTGATGTACTGTACACATGTCAGGAGAAATTGGCAGTAGGTGCAGATTGATGGAGCTGAGAGTGTTTGTAGCTACAGCTGATTAAGCCCTGCTAAGCAGCTCAGTACAACACCTCAATCTGCTCCATCTACACCAAAACAAGGACACTTTATTCATACAGAGTGGTCACTCAGGCAGTGAACTTTATCTCTGTGAAGCTTGCAAATGCGACAGTGTAAAAGAGGTTTTAACGTAACTCTTTTGTGTTATTGTGGGATTAGCCTGAATTATACGTGGTGATGTTCTGGTTAATTTGTCCATGTCCTGTCCCTTCCATGGTGGCTCCATTTTTTCACACTAGGACAAAATGACATTTAATGTCACTATATATCATGTTGTGTTTCCCAAACTGCTTGGTTGAAAAGCTACATATCACTTCAACACACTGTAGAACTGTCACAGCGATGAGCTTGCTTTTCGGGAGCAGGACTTTACGTCACGCTAACCTAGCCTGTCAGAGGGATTTACAGTATCCAGTAACACCTGTAACGCCATTAAAACAACTTAAGGGCCACATACAGTGTTGTCAGCTGCCAGGTAGGCTGACAGTGGATGCCAGTATACAAAGGTTGACAAGCCTGTGCCGGTGCTTTGATAACCCTGTCAGCAGTGCTGTCTATGGCAACGCTCACACTGTTTGTGTGTGTGCTGTTTCCAATCCTGGGAGAAGATATGAACTGCTGCCAGGCACACACTGCTCAGGGAAGAGGAGGCTCCATGCAGTTTATTTTAACCCCCAGCTCGCTGCCGTGCGGAGCAGCTCTCCTTCTCATTTTAATCAGTTTAAATCAGGCTCCTGCCCCCATCTTGCCCCAACACCATCATCACATTGCAATCAAGGACTGCCCTGGACTGGTCAGTTGCTATAGATCTAAGCAGGAGCAGGCACTTAGCATAATTAAACTGCATTTAATTTAATTGAAACCTGGGTGTGGGAAATCTATAAAGATATTCCCTGAAAATGGTCTGTATTTTGTTTTGTGGGGAGCATATCTTGTGGTTTTTGTGACTCAGTGAAATTTATGAGACCTAATTGACTGCATCGATCCAGATCCCATGATTCAGTGAATTGGACAGACAGAGGGGGACCTGCTGGGTAATAAAATAAATTAGGTCAGCCACATTTCTTACTTTCTCTCATTTTATCCTTCTTTCTCTCTGTCTGTCTTACTTTATTCTCTCTCTTTCTCTCTCTGTGTCTGTGCTTATTACTAAGCAATGGGCTGTGACTAAGTAATGTTAACTGTTTACAGCTCTGAGTGAACTGAGGGAGTGTAAAAACTACCCCGAGGAAACTCTGCGGTAGTGAATCCACTGGAGAGTGGCTATTTTCATCTGCCCTCCCCCGTTTCTCACAATAGTTAACTCTTTAACAGGAACAGTCTTTTGATCTAAATGAGTCCATATGTGGCCTCCTATAAGCTCTGTCCAAAACTATGGATAGCACATGTTCCTATGCACTGTCCAAGTGATTATGAGCTTGTTATTGTAGTCCTTTGGCATGCCTGCTGGAAATCACATTTCAGAGAGCGGTGACTGGACAATATAAACAGCTACTGAGGAGTAGCCTCTCAATTGTGAGAGCAACAGCAACACACAAATAGTAGAAAAAAACAACTTGTGAATGAATAACAACTTATTTATCAATTAACAAACAAATACATATTTGAATGAATAATCAGAAGTTAATAAAATATAAATGTAGAAAGAGAGAAATAAATAAATGTAGATTTACATTAATGTAGAAATAGATTAAGGACAGTTATGTATGTATTTCCCAATAAATTACCAACATTTTTTTTTTTTTTTTT